TCAAAATCACTTTATACTCCTACAGATGACAGAATGGCTGATATCTAAATATTTCATAATGATATAAGTAGGGCTCAATGATGTCATTGTATTCCACTTAGCATTGTCTTCCTAAAAACTTTTTTTATCTGGCCTGGGATGCAACTTTGCCCTCGCCGCAGTTAGATAAAAGAGCCTCTTGGGAGGCAAATATGAGTTAAATTAAATAGAATGCTAAATGCTCATATATTTTTTAATCATACAAAATATTAACAAGTTTGCTATATCAGATATTTGTTACAAATGTAGACAAAGCAAATCTTTTTAGATAATCGTGGCACCTAAATAAAACATTTTTATCTATTCGATTAAAGTGGTGGTCAATCGATTTGCTTCAATTATTCAAATGGCTAAATCTTTTTTGTCTAATATTCAAATCACATGAGATCTCTCCACATGGAACAAATAAAACCAAAAGTAGAAAAAACAAAATCTAAGTCAAATAAAGTCAAAACTAAGGCAAGATAGATTAAAGAAATAAGTACCAGATGGATAATAGCTATTAAGATCCATTAAATCATCATCAACGTTGATTTGTTCTTTTTTTTCTTCGTGACCTTGGTTAAAGTTCATATTAAAACAGGTGGGGAGAATACAGAAAACAAATCGTTGTATTACTTGATCTAGCAGAATGGATTTTACTAAACTTTAACTGTATGCTGGCAGTGATCCCAAATAGAAATCGTTGCCTTACTTCTTATAGAATACTCACAGCTGCATGTACCAACATTGTAGCAATCGCGGGCATAAAGGCTGAAATATGGCATAGTTGTAATGGCCCGCCGCCAGCACCAGCAGTACAGACGTTAGTATCACTTTCGTTGTCCTCATCAGAAGCTAGACAGCAAAAGTCGAGAAATGGCCAGTCGGTTCCCCTTGGGTGGAAACCAGTACCACCGTTCTTCAAACAGTCAGCAAGTAGCCGGACGGCATCCAGTCGACCCTGGGGCCAATCTGCCGCAGCCTTTTCTAGCACGAGAGGGATAATAGAGTGTCCCGAGAAATGGGCAGACGCAACCATGCAAGCATGG